CCCATCGCGAGCCACCGCTACTTCCAGGTTCGTTCTTAAAATGCTTCTCATGCATTTTCCTTCGAGTAAAGGCATTTGCATTTTGGGCTTTAGTTGTACATTAAAAAAAAATTACATTTTTTTTTAAATTAGATGAGTAATATGGCAATGCATTAAGAAAATAATACAATATTAAAATGAGGATATAATGTGTTCCTTGACGAAAACAGAGGGAACTTTATGAACTAAAATATGGTTGCATCAGTGGCGATGCAAATCCTGTCTAAAACAATGGTATTACTTCGTGCTATACAGTGCACAACAAGGACGTTTTTATTTACCTGGCTTTGCTATTTTTCCACTGATCAGTGTTTAAAGCATCCATGCCAACATACATGAATATAAATGTTTCAGAAATGAATGAGATGGTTGCAAAGGAGTGCCTGAAATAGAGAAAGTATTTTGCAAATTAAGATTCTAACTAGTTTCATTTGTTTAATTAATTCTTTTTACCTACTTCTAGACAAACTTCTGTCAACTTTAATTGAAGGGAGTATAAAAATAAAGTTTACATTGTTCAATACCACAAAGAAGAGAGGAGAAAAGAATGGTTCAGTAGAATGAAATGATTTAGTAAATTTCATTATTTTGTATTTGTTTTTAAATTTCCCATCTATGTTGATTGACTAACATTAATATATAATACTATTTTTTTTCCCAGTTAAAAGGAGTTAAAGTTCGCGTCCTTACTTGGTTGTTGTCCTTGAGCTTCCTGTAACATTGTGCCAAGTGTAGTGTGACATCACAATGCCACAAAAGAAAATAGTCAAAATCCCACTGAGATTCAAAAGCTGCAGAAGCGGCACATATATAGCTTGAAATTCTAGAGGGAATAACTGCATTTATGAAGTTCTTTGCTAATTGCTACTGAGTATGTTTTGCCATTTTTGGAGAGAATATACATCCCTCTTATACTAGAAAACTCTGTTTTGATATCGATTTGTTCAATTGTTTTTACCTTGTTTGTCTTGATTCAATGTTTTCAGTCACTCCCTATGAAATGCTGTGAAGAGCAGAATGGATTTGAACTTGGAAATAACTATTTAGTGTGTGTTTATGTAACCGTTTACCCAAACATGAACGTACGTTTTTCCAAAATACTCCAGAGTTGCTTCTCTGTTTTTCAGATAGGAAAGTGGGAATATTTGTTTGAAACATCTCAAACGGCAATGCAAACGGCAACATGCTCTTATTTTATTAAACAATTGGTTAAATTGATAATATTGAGCGATGAGTTGTGTTATTTGAATAGATAGAAGTAAGAAAAAATGAGAAAATTCTTTCTATTTTTTCGGTGGAAAAGAGTATAATAAATAAATTTTATGATAATTAAAATGTTTTACTCTATGTTTTATGGACATAAAATTACTTATCTTTTGATATCATTATTTTATAAAAAAAACTATTCAACTTTTTAAGAAAATAAAAAAAAATCATTTAGCAAACTAAAGCATTTTGTAGTTGGTGGTTTTGTACCTCAGCGATCATGTATGACAAATATGCCATCAACATCATAAGTGCAACTTCACGATCTGTAGAATGCCTGCAAATCAAAGGCACTATTTGTAGCGGATTGCATTGCTTCCACCAGGCATACAAGTCATATTTGTTCATCTATTATATTATTCCACAAATACCTATAGTTTCATTAAATTATCAAATCCACGTAATTTAAAATTTATAATTGATTCTTAACACTTATTTTTAAAATTCAAACTCTAGGGGCTTAATTAAAAATTCAAACAAACTAAGTAATTACAAATTTGTGTTTTCTTAGTTCTCATGCTAAGCGTTAAATCCACACTTAGCGCCATAATTCCAGAGGTCTTTATCTTGTTATTCCCTAATATGTTATTATTAAAAAGAGACAAAAGAGTTTATGACCCAAAGTAGAGGAATCTCGAGACATATCATTAGGGGGATATTTCTTGGAGCGTGTGTGGTGGTTAGAGAGTTTTCATGACTTCAAGATCAAGATTGTTCCTTTCCTCACTATTTTTATCGTGCTTCATGTCTATGCAATTAAGTTCTCCTTTTGGGATTTGATATAACCCGACCCATTCTCATGTATATATTTTAAGTTATTAATCTCAGTTGTTATTCAATATTATTGATCTATCTTTTTTACTTAATTCTTTTATGATTTAATCTCTTTTAACTTGAACTTGTGGTTTTAAAGTGATTGAAAAATACTTATGAACCTTTGAATTGAAGTATAGTAACTAATGGTGTTTATCTCTAGGAATAGAGTAAATGTTACTAGTCTTTCTTAAGTTCTTATTTTTAAAGTTGGTTTCTTGGTTAAATTATGCAAGGAATTGATAATTTAATCAAGAAGCTTAGAGGGATCTACACAATGTTTTAACCTTATTCATTGTAACTTGTACAAGCAAAGGAAACTCATACCTTCCAAGGTAAAGTGTTTTAATAATGTAAGCACTCAAAAGGCCAACCTGAAAACTCATCACATATCAAGTCAGAATAGAATTTCATCTTCACTCCAATTGCTAGTAATTTAAAATTGGTTTTCAAGCAAGTCATAGATGAAGTAATTAAATTATGTCTTGATGGAGAAAATTTTATTTATGTTCAAATTGTATATTATTAATGCACATAATGAGACATGGGATAGAAGGAGAAAATATAACCATAGGAAGCACTTATGAGTATGCTTCCTTACATCCAAAATATAGAATTTCTCCCTATGGTTCAGTTTTTCTTTTCTGAAAATCTGGTCTAAAGAGTCTTTCTAAGAAGCAGATGCAAAACTGCGAAGTTAAACTTACCATTATGCCAAGGGCAGTACTAGTGCAGAAGAGGTAAAGGAAAATCCCCAACAATTTCAAGGCTGTAATAGCATCGAGGCTGCTGAAGTCAAACGATTGAACTGAATTGAAAAGCACAATAGATGTAGCATCATTTACTACTCCCTCCCCAAATACAATGCTGTAAAGTAAGGGAGTTTCATCTTGATTAAGAACCTTCACCACAAAAGGGACAAGGAAGGCATCAAATGATAATGTATTAATTTTGAGACTTACGTATGCTTTTACTCCTTAAATATGAGGTAAATTTGTATTTTGTCTCCCAAATTTAAATTTGTTTTCTGTAGTCCTGGAATTTGGGAAAGGATTATTTTTGTCTTTCTTCTCAAATGTCCTTAATGAATCTGTCATGTAAAACTTACCTAATACTACATCTGTCACGTGAAACTTACCTATTAGTTTCTTTATCAGTGAAAATATCACAATAAATCAATCGATGTTGCACAACTAATTCACTCCGCCTTTGTCAATGATGATACTGGAGGCCCCGAGGGACTAAAATATATATTTTTTAATTATAAGGACTATAAGGATTAAGTTTAAATTTGTGGGATATAAAAAAACTTACCAACAATTTGAGAGATTGAAGGCTAATTTTGAAATTCATATTTGTATTTGCACCAAGGATAGAATATACCTGCAATGTACAGACTGAGTCCGTTGCTGACAATATGGCACCAATGGCTTCACATGTATAGTGCAGAAACAATCAGAATAGACGGACAAGTGATGATGAAATTAAGCGACAGAAAGTAACATTGCTCAAAACCCAAAACTATTTCTGACCTAGGTAATCTTTTATGCCAAGGTTAGATATGCCAATCCTTTGAATGAGCATAAGGGCACCTGGAGAAGTTAAGGAAGTAATTATATCGAGTGTTCATTCGGTTCATTCCACAATCTACATAGATTGTGTAATTGACAATGAAAACAACATTAAGTTCAGTTTTGATATTAAAAGAATTTGAAACTGGAAAGGGTTATCAGATAAAGGAGATCTTACCAAAAGATATCAGACAGAATGAAATAACTGTTCCAATGACTCCAAACAGCAGTATAATTGTGAAATTCTTGAAGAACTGTTTCTTCTTGACTTGGAAACTAACGTGCCATTTGAAATTACACAAAACAAATCAAATAGACAAATTAATGCAGAAATAATAGACAAATAGATAAACATGATAACAAGTTATAATCATACTTACCCGGCATTGAAAATGATTGGGGGAAGCAAGTAAAGAAAGAACAAGTCCTCACTGAATATTAAAATCTTATCACTATGAAACTTGGTCACCAACAACACTACCACTCCAGCACACAACCCCTGCATTTATTTAACCAAGCCAAGCAAAATTTACTAATTTGGGTAAACTTCTTCACAAACAATTTTAGAAGAAAAAAATAAGAAGGAAAAATGAAATAAGTTTTTCTAATAATTAAAATTATAAACTAATTTGTAGAAACCCTCTCCTATTAATTTTTTTCAAATCTTATTTTTAACTTATAATGAGATAGTTTTAACGTTTTAACTTACAGAAAAGTAAAAAGTTTATTTATCTTTACTTTTTTTTTTCTCCTAGAAGTACTTTTGTAGAAATTTATTCAAAAAGAAGCTAAGATAAAAACTAGGAAGTCACAGAATTATTCATGGAGACTAGAAGCATGAGTTGAGTCTGTACCAGAAGAAGGGCAATGATGGATTCATTAGCCCACCGATTCTCTTCCAGAAGATGGCCAATGATGATGCAAGTGCAAAGGAGAGAGAAGAATACACAGAGAGTCACAATGGTGCTTGTGCTGAGATACAAAGATGAAAAATGGAGTGATGAGGGTAACAAAGCCATTGTAAGCATTTGGATTGAGTAAGTGTTCTTTTGTGATAATGGTATAAAAGAATGAGGAAGAAAGGTAGTTGGCGTTAGTTTGGTTCCCTTGCTTCTCTAAACTAATAAACACGTTTCTGAACTTTGACAAAGGATGTCACAACGTGGAGATAGCATTTCTTGGCACTTGGCAGGACTGTTGAGTCTGAGTGTGACACCAACTGCTAGTCATATTTTTTTTTTTTGGAATTATTTCTAAATATTGAGAGAAACCTAACATTCAGAGAGTAAACTTGCTGTTTGTATTTCCTTTTAAGTTGGAAATTTTAGCTTTCTAATTGGTCACTCCTCCCAAATACACATAAAAGTCCATATCAATTATATCATAATATTTAGGTATAAGCTCCCATAATACATAATAATGTCTATCAATGATAAGTTTACATTTAAAATAAAAAAGAAAATAATGAATACATTACATAGATTTTCATTTGTTAAGGGAAAAAGTAACAGAGTGATCTTGTAATTAAAAAATTCCCACTGTCTTGTTGTGAACCATTTTTTTTTCTTTTTCGGTTTTACGACTTTGAACTAGTTATTTTCAAGAATTAAATTTGTTTTTAATTTTTTAATTTTTTATTATCAATTTTTACTTTTAATTTTTGGAATTTCTTTTTTTACAATTCTTAAACTTTTACTTATTTTATTCTTGAATTTTTTCTTCCATTAATATTTTTAATACTTGACGTAAAAATAATTTATTTATGTAAAAAAAATTTAGAGACTACAACTAATAAAAATTTGTTCAAGAGCTTAAAAATGATAAATGATAAAAGTTTAGAGATTAAAAGTAAAAATTGATAAAGAAAGTGAGAGTTTGTACCAAGTTCTTACAATATCCCATGCGTAACGTAAGATTAAAAATTTCTTACAATCACACGACCATGTTAAAATGTCAACTGACTTATCGAGGAGATCATGTTTGCTTTTGTATTTTAATCTTTGACTCTTCTTTTGTTATGAAAAGTGGTAGAATGGAAAACATCAAAGGGTTACTTACTGCACATGTTCAAATTATAACTCTTTGGTAAGGAGGGAAAAAATTAGACCCATGAGAAATAAAAAATAAGTAAAAATAGATTAAAAAAATAGAGTAAAAATTTGTTTTTTTGATTGAAAATAAATATATAAAAAAATATGACAGAAACAAGATATGTATAACAGAAAGAAAAGAAAAATAAATAAGAGGATAAAGTCTATTACTTTTGCTCTTATTTCTTTTCAATCAAATAATTTCACTTATTTTTACTTGTTTATTTTCATTTTTTTCACCCTATTTCTTATCTATTTTCTCATGACCAAAGTAGGCTAATAGTTCACCTAGTTGCATATGCTAAAAGCGTGTTTGAATCTAAACAATAACATACGTTAGTACATATGATTTCATGTCAATATTCACAGAAGAGGTGGAAGCTTTGCTATTGACGTGATTTTTCAAGTTCAAAATGTGTTGCTAGACACACACTAACCAGCCCCTAGACATTGGGGGATCTCTCTAGTGAGGAATGCCCCCAAACATGGAAAGTATCATTAGGGGAGATTAATTTGAATACATATCCATGGGATGTGGGTGATAGTTTGAACGCTTAATATCTTGTGTCAACTCTGAAACGAATCCTTAACCATAACATTGATGTATTTCCTTTAACAATTCATATTTTTGTCCTCCTTTCTTTTCTTTAAAAAGAAACTTTTCACTCATCAAACCTAAAACGTGTTTTATGAACGAGAGAAACAATAAACAAATATTGATTACATAAGTATTTCCTCCATTCCACATAATTTTAGTTTTAACATTTGAAAAATGTCTGAAAATAAATAGTGTTTTTACTTTTCTATATAATATTAATTACTTTTTTCTACTTTCATAACTTATTCAATTACAACTATTTAAATTAATGTATTTATTGAGAAAATTGACTATTTTAATAAAATTGCATAAAAAAAAGTGATATATTTATTGTTGTTCTTAATCCATGTGTAAAAACCTTAAACTTCGATTATTGTGAGATGGAGGGAGTATTAAACAAGAATTAAAATTCCATATTATTATTTTGAAGAAATCAACACAACCAAAATCTGTGACATGATAACCTATACATCTCGCAGATCAGTCTCAGATTCGATTCTTCTATTTAATTAACGGCATTGTATAGAGAAAATGTTTCAAATATATAGTACAATTATAGATATACAAACAAGACCACCCTTTGTGAATCACACTATTGAAAGAAAAAGTGAAGAGAATCAGATAAATTGTTTGTGTTTCAAGAAATCTCCTCTGATTCAGCAGATGATGAGGCAGGAACAGATGGAACAAAACCCCTTCCACCAAATACAGGTCTCATGACCTTATCATCAAATTTCCTCCAAAAGTAGTGAACAGTTGTGGTTGGATAACTCATTAGCAAACTTAGCCTACTTCGCCTTTGAATAATTGGAACATTGTTTTCTAGCAATTGGAGTCTCAAATCTTCTGGAATATCAGTGGAGTCAAAAATGGATGGTTTTAAATGCCTTGGTTGCACAGCCTCAATCAGAGGCTTTGTAATGGAACCAAATACCTGTTTGCATTTTGGTTTGTTTGCAATGGAAGCAACCATATTATTACTTATTTGTTCTTGATGCAAAATAATATTGTTTATATCTATAGAATATGAAACCCACCACAGTACTGAATAAGACCACGATTATAGTAGAGGTGATCATTAGTGAAGAGTCTTGAGTTGATGATCTCCTAGCTTGAGCAAACTACATTTGAAAGCATCGCTGATGAAATGTCTGGCTAAGAATGAATTTTTCAGAAAAGAATAAACTTACAGTTAAAATATGTTTTTAGCCTCTTAGATTTAATTCATTTTTTTCTTGTTGGTTTTGGTCACCGTAAATTCTATTTTCTCTTAAAATGGTCTGTACTTATTTAGTGATGACATGACTATATTTAGACATGTCATGTCATTGACCACTTTAAGATAACATGTGACAAGTCTAGATGTATGTCATGTCATTGTAGGGATCATTTTTGCCATATTTGCAATTACTAATAAACATATTAACAATGTGTTTGAATATAAGTTAAAAATATTTTTTAAAATTTCTCTATTAATAATAAAAAATATTTTTTAGTAAAGAAACTCTCAAAAAACATTTATAAGTTTATATTCAAACAGACTTTAAACCTTATATCATGTACTTGCCTGGTTATAAGACAGAGCAATAGTCACTGCACCTCTCATCAGGCCTGCCCACCATATGATAAACTGACATTTTGAATAGTTTAGCGGACATTCAGCAAGGTCAACTGAAAATGTGAACGATTGAGGAATTAGAAGCCCACAACAATCACCTGTGAACGAAACTCAATTTTGGAACTCTCTCTTCTCTTTATGCAATTTGTAATATTTGCAATAGGGAACACAAAAGCTGCTCTTCCAATCAACACTAATGCAAACAACGTTGAACTCACAGCAACTGAAGTTCCTGCACTGCTCTAACAACATGGTAATGTGTTAAGAAAATGATTAATAATATAAATAGAATATTATGTGTTCCTTGACCTTGATGAAAACAATGATATATGACAAATTACCTAGCTTTGCTTTTTTTCCATTGGTCAATGTCTAAAGCATCCATGCCAACAGATATAAATATAAAGGTTTCACAAATGAATGAGATGGTTGCAAAGGAGTGCCTGAAATAGTTAAAGTATTTTCCAAATTAATATTATAACTAGTTTTGTTTGTTTAATTAATTTTTATTTATTTTTATGTACTTCTATTTAAACTTATGTCAGCTGTAATTGCAAGAAGCATCAAAACAATGTTTAGATTGCTGAATAACTCTCAAAGAAGAGAGGAGAAATGAATGCTACAATAGAATGAAATGATTTTAGTAAATCTCATAATTATGTAACTGCTATTGCATTTCCAATCTTAGGTGACTGAATTAAGTTTTCCCGGTTAAAAGGGTTAAAAGATCATGTATTTACCTGGTTGTTGTCCTTGAACTTCCTGTAACATTGTGCCAAGTATAGTGTGACATAACAATGCCACAGAAGAAAATAGTCAAAATCCCACTGAGACTTAAAAGCTGCACAAGCCACACGTATGTATATATACCTTGAAATTCTGAAGTGAATAATTGCATTTACGATTCTCATTGCTACCGAGTATTTTTTGCCATTCTGCAGAGAATTTATAACTCTCTTATACTAGAAAACTCTATTATGATATCAATTTGTTCCGTTGTTTTTACCTTGTGTATTATCTCTTATTTTAAATTTTCTCCCTATACTTCACAGTAAATTCTTGTCAATCTCAATGTTGTTGTAACAAGTTAACAACAAATGATAGGATAATTTGACAATAATTATATATGTTGTGAAAAAATTGAAAACTTTTTTTAATATAAGGACCACATTAAAAATGAGTATCATATATAAGGGTGGAAAATATCTTTCAACCTAAGCACTTTTATTCAACATCTCTGAAGAAAATAAATAAAATATATCAACTACAATGCATTTTGTAGATGGTGGTTCTGTACCTCAGCAATGATATATGACAAATATGCCATCAACATCATAAGTGCAACTTCACGATCAGTAGAATGCCTGTAAATGAAAGGCACTAAGTGAGGTGAATCGCACAACGTCCACAAGGCATACAAGTCATATTTGTAACTCTATTATATTATTCTATAAATCTCTATAGTTTCAATAACTTTTTAAATAGATCCATACACCAGTTCTTGCGAGGTTCTCAAGTTTAAGAACTGGTTCTCATTCAGGCTTATTATTGAGGAGGCTGACATGACTTCCCTTCCCATCATAAGAACTGGTTGTAATACAAGTAACCAGTTCTTAGGATTCAAAAACATTGTGAAATAATATGTGAGACACTGAGACTTATTTCAAGTTCTTAGATCATTGTATCATTGAAGAAAAAAGTTGTTAAAGTTCTTAAATCTGATATAGCATGATAAAACCTATCAAAAGTGAGTTGAGAACCTTCACTTTAAATGCACTATTGGAGATGCTACATGGACTAACACATTGGTGTTTTTTTTTTATAAAAATTCTCTATATTATCCAAAACCTCAAAGAAACCCTAATGTTTAGCAACACTTAACAGTTTCAACACCGAAATCTGGTAAAGACTCAATTGGCAATTCAAGATTTTAGAATTAAAAGAACCATATTTGAGAGATTAGTAAACTAGAAGGATCTATGCAATGTCTTAACCTTGTGTATCTAATTCAAGTCGTCAGAATTTTCTTGAACAATCACACCATTTTCGTAACTTTCTTGTTAGTTAATTATTAACATTTCAAAGTTATCCTAGTTTATCCAAGCTTCCAAATTTGATAGCATTGAAGAAGTATATTATTCTACCAAATTGATGGGACACCTATTAACACTTCAGGAAGATATCTATTTGATTGGTTTAGTAGTCGAGTATATTGATAGTAACTTATACAAGCAAAGGAAATTCCTACCTTCCAAGGTAAAGTGTTTTAATAATATAAGCACTCAAAAGGCCAACCTGAAAAGGTCATATATAGCATGTCAGAATAGAACTGCATCTCCACTCCCAACAATTAGTAATTTAAAATTTGGTTTGCAAGCAAGTAATAGATTTAGTAATTGGATTATGTCTGTGTAATGCTTTCATGGAGCAAATTTTATGTTCAACTTTGTATAATAAAACAGCTGACTTCAAAAGAAGAAAATATAACCATAGGAAGCACTTCTGAATATGCAGCCTTACATCCAAAATAAAGGATTTCTCGCTATGGTTCAGTTTTTCCTCCCTGAAGTCTGGTCTAAAAAGTCTTTCAAAGAAGCACATGCAAAATTGAGCAAGTTAAACTTACTAGTATGCCAAGGGCAGTACTAGTGCAGAAGAGGTAAAGGAAAGTCCCCAACAATTTCAAGGCTGTAATAGTATCGATGCTGCTGAAGTCAAGCGATTGTACCGAATTGAAAAGAACAATAGACGTAGCATCATTTACTACTCCCTCCCCAAATACAATGCTGTAAAGGAATGGAGTTTCATCTTGATTCAGAACCTTCACCACAAAAAGGACAAGGAAGGCAATAAATGATAATATATTAATTTGGAAATACATATTTGTATATGCACCAAGGTTAGAATATACCTGCAATGTACAAACTGAGTCCGTTGCTGACAATATGGCACCAATGGCTTCACATGTACAGTGCAGGAACAATCAGAATAGAGGGACAAGTGATGAGTAGATTAAGAGTCAGAGAGTGAGATTGCTCTTAACCAAGAACTATTTCTCACCTAGGTAATCTTTTATACCAAGGTTAGATATGCCAATCCTCTGAATGAGCAGAAGGGCACCTGGAGAATTTAAGGAAGTAATTATATCGAGTCTTCATCTGTTCATTCCACAATCCACATAGATTATGTAATTGACTATGAAAGCAACTGTTTATCATTGGTGTTCAACATAAGGTTCAATTCTGATATTAAAAGAATTTGAAACTGAAAAGGGTTATCAGAAAAAAGGAGATCTTACCTACAGATATCAGACAGAATGAAATTACTGTTCCAATGACTCCAAAGAGCAGTATAGTTGTGAAATTCTTGAAGAACTGTTTCTTCTTGACTTGGAAACTAACATGCCATTTGAAATTATAAAAACAAATCAAATAAATTAATTAGTACAGAAATAATAGACAGATTGAGAAACATGATAATTGATAACCATACTTACCCGGCATTGAAAATGATTGGGGGAAGCAAGTAAAGAAAGAATAAGTCTTCACTGAATATTAAAATCTTGGTACTATTAAATTTGGTCACCATCAACACCACCGTTCCAGCACACAAACCCTGTACTTATGCAACCAGGCCAAACAAAGTTTACCATAATATATTATTTAGGGACTAATAGCAAACATTGCTCTATTTATAAAAACTAAAAATATATTTAAACATATATAAGATAAAAAGTCACAGAATTGTACAAGGAGACTAGAAGAATGAGTTGAGTCTATACCAGAAGAAGGGCAACAATGGATTCATTAGCCCACCGATTCTCTTCCAGAAGATGGCCAATGATGATGCAAACGCAAAGGAGTGAGAAGAATACACAGAGAGCCACAACAGTGCTTGTGCTAAGATACGAAGTTGAAAAATGGAGTGGTGACGGTAACAAAGCCATTGTGAGCATTGAAGTTGAGTACGTGTTCTTTTTGACAGTGGTGATCACTGATGATCAGTGGGGTAAAAGAATGTGGAAAGAAACAAATTGTTTTGGACTGGTATAAGGACGAAATGGAGTGAAGAAATTGAGGTAGTAGTTATAAACAACTTTGGTTGGCTTGAAATATGGTTCTATGTACGAAGATAACTTATTAAATACGTTTCAGAATTTTGACAAATGATATGTCAGAACGTGGAGATGCCATATATTGGTAGGAAGTGTTGAATGTGACCACAAACTGCTAGTCATATATTTTTTGAATTATTTCTGAATATCGAGAGAGCTAACATTCAGAAAGTAAACTTACTTGATGTTTGTATTCCCTTTTATACGTTATTAGTTGCTCATATATTGCAAAGCAAGCTATTTTACCTCGTGCCAAGAAGTCATGTAAAATGTATCATTTTTACTATTTAAAATCTCTCTCCCTCTCTTTTAATTATGGACAAAGATTTTATAAGACAAGAATGTTACATGAGAGAACCTAGACCCATCACTTTTACGGTTTTGAAAGAGATTTATTTGCGATCATGTTATTCCAGCTTTAAGAGTTTAAGACCATTAGCAGAACCTTCAAAGAACAAGTGCTTGTTTGTTTTGTGCCAAAGTAATGTTCTGTGATAACTCATGTTCACTTTTAAAATTCGACAGAGTCTAGCAATACACTCCTTTAGTTAAAATTTATTAGAAATTACAATGCTACAGGTGAGTCTTATTAAATAAAACAATAATAGAAAGAGTACTCAAAAGAATGTATTGTTGGTACGTCTCTTAAAATATTGATTCTCTTTCTTAATTTAAAATTTGTATTTTATGTTAATTTTATAGCATCATAATCATGGTTGTGTCATATCATACTTATGTCATGTGTCGCGTTCGAGCTTTATAATTTTTGGTGGTGCAATTATGCTAAATAATTAAGAGATTAAGCAAATTAAAATACTCGTTCGTGCTGATTGCTAAGCAACCAACTTCCAACTGGTCCAGAAACAAGCAATCAATTGTTTAAGCCAAGTGTTCATTAATATTATATTAGTCAGGTTGGTTAGTTATTTTTTTTACTTAGCATTCTGCATGTATCGACTTCTACTGATCTCTCCCTCACTCGCAAAATTTCAGTAAACTTTCATATAAAATGATTGACTCCATGAGCAAATGAAAGAATAAAAAGAGAGAAGTTAAAGTTATGGTTTATGATACAAATTGGCAATGAAAATGAACTTATACCAAAAAGTGAGAACCATACCTCGACAACTCATAAAAATAATGAATTATTTTAAGCAATCAAATTTCAATGCTTAAATCAAAATTTCAGTAATCAGTAAAAGCAGTGACTTCGCAACATTCTACAGAATATTAATTGAAAGTCCAATGCATTATTGAACTGCTTTTCAGCTTTGACAGGCAGCTGAGCACCCAATGAGCCATGTGATGTGTCAAGATTACTGCAATCATCCAGGTGACAAGTAGAGAACTGCTTCAAATCAGGGGGAAAAAAAAGAGCATTAAAATGGAAGCTAGAAAATTGTACGTATTACACAAACAGTTAAAGTAGTACAACAAGTCATTGTTCTTGCCATAGAATCGAATGATAAGCAATTTATCAAATCAATGGCCTACATAGTCAGTTGTGATTTTCTGTATAATACAAAAACATTCTCAATTCTCAGCAGCTGGAATATTACATACTTTACCACAGGCTTCAGCTTCAAATACAAATTTAGACTATTAAGCAGCAAACAACTAATCTTCAATATACTCTATGAAATCTTGGCTTAAAATAGAAGATAATATATTACCCTACATGAAAATATTAAAACCATATCACTTAAAAGTTGAAATTATGAGTTGACATACCAAGCTAACAAAGGTTCAGCACATGGCTACAGAATTTTTAATGATATAGCAGCAGAACGAAGTTTTACACCATCGCTGTCCCACTTGGACTTTGGTGCAGTTGCTCCAGCAATAAAAGCCTACAGAATATAAGGACCAGGTATCTTACTTTTCTGTAATTTACGTTGGTGGAGATATAAAAGTGATTGCCGTGTTTCACCACAGAAGTAATTAAAATTTGCTCTATTAGAACTGATAAACTAGCAAAAGTTGATGATTAATGATATAAACCTACCATCCAACCATTGCATGTCCTAATATTTTTTTGATACATAAAAATGGTAGATAAGAAATGACACCCCATGACTATTGAAAAGGGAAACCAATGACATGCTGAGAATCCTCAGACTAAACACTACAATCCACTTAGTGGTTAGCTGAATTGCATATCCTAGTATATGTGGATGGGTTAGTAATATCAGTAAAATGCATGTAGCAACAAACCTTTCCACTGTTGACACCTGTCATCATTGCTACGCGCTGTTCATCTTTACCAAATTCATAGAAATAATAAGTCCTGAAATTATAAAAGGTAATAATATATTGGAATTTGATGCAATAGAAAAATTCAATGTTACAGAGACACATTAATAGGGTTGGTTCCAGATGAAATAAAAATGGTTTAAAAGATTAATCCACACATCCGAATCCAGAGTTTTCTACACTAGCATTTTGATTACCCAATCAAACATTGGGAGACAAGGGTATCAATGTTGTTTATTTATAGCCCTTCTTTTGTAAGACAACCCCTGTTTCTTTCTTTCTTTTTTTGAATAACAATAAAAATAAAAAAGAACTAATTTATGTATTTTTTCTTTGAAAAAGAAAGAACCCTAGGTCTATATAGTTTCAGTCAGTTGAAAATGGACTTACGTAAAACCCTCATCTTCCTTTATTTTTATTGATCTTGCAGAGTAAAGTGTTGAGCCTCCTGCATGCATATCATGGGCAGAATGGAATACCAAAACCAAGAACTAGGAGTAAACAAAAAGAGCAACGAAGCACATGATATCATTTAAATAACTAAATTCAGGGTATAACAATCTATGACATAAAGATAAACTTAGAGCAAAATTAACTTAGACGTTTAAACAAAATTGTACCTGGAACAAATATTTTTGCTGCTTCCTTCAGGGAACCTAAATCAGTTATATTCTGAGCCTGCTCTAATAAATGGAGAATACATAAGTTCCTTGAGGAATTCACACATCAAGAATAAAAAAAGGACTAGATCTAATCTCTGTTACAGTGACTTGTCATGACATAGGCACAAAAACCTGATGGCTGGTATGCTGTACATAATTTCTCCTTTGGAGAAAGACATTTATGTACACTTCTGAAAGTTGAACTCATGCAGAGGTAAAGTGATACCAAGTTATAAGGATTACATGTCTCCAGAAACACTTTTAGGAGAGAAAAATAAACAAGAAAAATGAAATAAGTTTCTCTATAAGCTAAAATTAGCTTAAGTATAAGCTAATTTGTAAAAACTTTCTCCTATTAGCTTCTCCAAAATCTTATTTTTAATTTATGTATAAACTAGTTTTAACTTATGGAGAAACTTATTTCGATTTCCCTTCCTACTTTTTTCTCTTAAAAGTGCTACTGAAAAAATTTATCCAAGCAAACTTTATATCAATTCCTCTATTCTTAAGAGCAAAAAGCTCCTAATTCAAGTTCAAGTTCTTGAAAAACATAAAAAAGAAAAGCTTGCATTAAGAATGAGCCTAATACTTGCTCAACATTAAACTAGAAAGGAAACAGATAGCAAAAAATTGGGAAAGACAAAAAGATAGGCCAAACCAACGCAGACACGTGACAATGACTTAGGCAAGGGTTTCTGATGTACAAATAGCAAAATGCCTTGCTTGTCTGTTATTAATTACTCAACCATGTTGAAAACATTATACCTTACTGAGATATTTGTGGACAGCAGGATATGTGTGTTGTGGGATAAAATGTTATTGACTGTCAGATTACCTGTAAGAAAGTGATTTTAAGTTGATTGGTTGGCCGAGTAACAACACTTAGAATCTCTGATCTGTTTCAATCACAGACAAGATGCTCATGTTTCCTTCTAAAATACACAAGTGTATTGCAAGAAAATAGGGAGTTGGGAGTCTAATAAAGAAATTAGTAAATTACCCATCGGAAGATGCAAACCGTGCTGAAAAAGTCTTTGACTTTGCCTTGTCCCCATAAAGAGACTGTCCAGCATTGAAATCCTGCAAGTAAATGGAAGAATACCTCACTCAACTGAAAATTTCATAATGTTTCAATGCTATTATTTTTTAATATGCAAGTTCTGGAAAAATGAATATTATTACAGTGGTGCATTATGCTGATCAATCAGCTTTATATAATTCTGCAATTTCAACGAATAATATTAAGAAAGTGTATAATGAGTCTAATTCAATCTCATAAATCTGGCTTATAAGGGGGAGGATTCACTTATTTAAACTATTTTGACCATATTACTGGCTTGAAATTTGCACGAGTATGATAGCAAATAGTCCGATAAACCCAACAATAGTCAATAATCTGATATCATATTAAGAAAGTGGATTGTGGGTCTAGTTGAAGTGGGATCTCTATTGGATAAACTATTTTTGTCATATCAATGGTGGATGTGGGATCTCTAAAAGATAAGACTAACTTACTCAATTATCTTCAACCATAAAAAATTACTTAACTAACTACTGCATCAAACTCCAACTAACTGAAACTGGATTCAGCTGAGTTAAACAAACCTGTCATTACTAAAATTATAGACACTTTCAAGTCTCTATTTACGCATTTCACAATCAGTTTTTAATTGTAATTTTCTAAATTACAATTTACCAAGTTGAACAAGAAAAAAATTGATTGATAAAAAGCTAATTTACTTTGGAGTAATTTAGGAAATTTTTGGTAAAAATTGAAAGAAAAGCAGTTAAGTGCACCTCAGGTTCCATGACATCCTTAAACTCCGGTGGAACTCGAATGGCAAAGCCATCACCGTAGAACTGAAACCAAGATGTCGTATTTTGAATGCTAGAAAGAAGCGATTTGGACGGCGAAGCTTGAGGTGAAGATTGCGCAACTGGGACTTGAGGAGTTAGGCCAACGCCAATGCAGAGGAGAGAAGTTTGAAGGATGAGGTTCCGTTTGGAAGTGAGGCTGTTAGCCCCACAAATTATGGGTTTTGAGGTGAAAGAAAAGAAGGGTTTGGTGTTGGTGATGCCGAGGTTTGAGAAAAGAATGGCCATCAAAGAAAGTGCATGGAGACAGTGTTATCATTAGTTTCGGCTAAAATAAATAACTTTTGGAAAATTACTCATTTCAGCGGCATTTAAAGTCATTGTAATAAGTGAAATTTTATTAATGTTCTTAAGAATACATGTATTCTTCACATAAAACAATCCTACTTAGCAGATGCACTATTGTGTGTATTGGTAGTGTTTTTCTCCTATTAAAATTTGAGTTTTATCAAAGTAATTTACATTGATATTATGCATATCACACATTCTAAAGTAAAATTCTATTTTTCATCGAATAACAAAATCAACAACATTTATAATATTGTATGGAAATTTTTTTCTTTTGTCTATTTTGTCCCATGTTTATCTGTTTATAAATGCTGGCTTAGTAGTGGAAAATATAAATGAAAATGAAACTTTCTAGTTCTGTGGACCAAAAGACCTACATGGCTAATAGACGTTATCCTCTTCCAAACACAGCCAGCCAATCAATACCACCCGAAATCTGAACCAAATGAGAGGACAAAGAATGATGTGGAAGAGAAGAAGAAGAGGAAGAAGCCTTCTGAACTTGAATCCTTGTTGATCCTCATGATGGGAACCATTTTTCCTCCTCACTCTCTCTCTCCACTCCTCAACATCAAACCTTCACCCTCAAGAATCCTCTTGTCTCCCTCTCTCCAACCCAAGTCAAATTCTCTCTTTTGCTCCAAACCCATTGTTTCCAGTCTCAAAAAGAACCAAACTTCATCACTCAAACCTTCCCCATGCACAAGCTGGTTGGCTCATGCTCAACAAGGCCTAGCAGCTTTGGCTATCTCCTTGGCACTCAACTTTAGCCCCCTTTTGTTCAGTGGCAATGCACTGGCATCTGAGTTTGATGTGCTTAACGAGGGTCCACCCAAAGACTCTTACGTGGTTGACGATGCAGGAGTGCTTAGTAGGGTGACCAGGTCTGATTTGAAGCGGTTACTGTCTGATTTGGAATCAAGGAAGAACTTTCACATCAATTTTATTACAGTTAGAAAACTCACGGTTAGTTAAACAACTACGTGCTTTAACTAAGGTCATAAACTGTCTTTCATATGCTTTCACATGATGTGCTGTGAAGGAGCATTGAGCTTGTTGTGCAACCTTGTCCATGTTGCCATGCAACTAAAGTGGAGCATGAAAGGACCAAACAAAATTCTAAATGAAATGTTTTGATTGTATAATGTGATTGGTTGCAGAGTAAAGCTGATGCTTTTGAGTATGCTGACCAAGTCTTGGAGCGTTGGTATCCTTCTGTAGAAGAAGGCAACGACAAAGGTATTGTGGTTCTTGTCACCAGTCAGAAAGAAGGAGCAGTTACTGGTGGCCCTGCTTTTGTCCAAGCTGTGGGGGAAAATATCCTTGATGCCACCGTCTCTGAGAACCTTCCAGGTACTTGCAAGTTTGTATTATTTATGAGAGTTTCGTTTTCATAAGATTATACATCCAAATTAGTTCCCGAATTTGGAAGACTTTACCATTTTAGTCTTTAATTCACAATCAAATTAGTCCAAAACTCAAAAAATGTGTGACTAAAATGGTAATATTGATATTTATTTAGGAACCAAAATGATAGTAAGTAATTAAATTTAATGACTTATTTGACATTCTGGGAATTTATCTTACAATTTCTTACTTTCACAAATTAATATGATAGTATCTTCCAAATTTAGGGACCAAAGTGGGTGTTTAGTCGTAACTATAAAAAATTTTACACTATCAACTTGTTGGAAATTAGGTTAAATATGATTTTTAAAATAATTATTGTAAAAGTTTAACAATTTTATTATGTATAACAGGTTGTGGTTAAATGACAATGTATAAATCTTATACTGTGAATGCATTCTAATTAATTTCTAGTTATAAAACAAGTCAATCTTCTGAACGTTACTCATTAAGGAACAGCTATATTCATTTTTAATTTTTGAAGGGGGTACAAAACTACCTATGTCTGGTTTATTTATGCAGTATTGGCCACGGATGAGAAGTACAATGAAGCTATTTTTAGCACTGCTAAACGGCTAGCTGCTGCCATTGATGGGCTTCCAGATCCTGGTGGGCCAACATTTAAAGACAACAAGCGTGAGTCTAACTTCAAAACCAAGGAAGAGACAGAAGAGAAGCGTGGACAATTCACTCTTGTAGTTGGAGGTTTGTTGGTCATTGCATTTGTTGTTCCTATGGCACAATACTATGCTTATGTATCCAAAAAGTAAAATAATATAACTACGCCTCTCGTTCAAATTCTCACTCTTTAAAGTCAGATGTATAATGTGCAGTTGTAACCATGCTCATATTACAATTGAGTTTGGGAAAGCTGAAGAATAAGATGAGATTTTTTGCTTGTAAATGTAATTCTAAAGTATATTCACTTAACTATTTTTATAATCCGGTTGATGTTCTTAAAGTCAGGTAGAACGAGTTCTATTCTTTGCCTCTCTTCCAGATTTCCTTACATGTACAATAAAATTGTACAAAAACTTATACAGCATCACCATTTGTATCTATCTCTCCATCACTTCATTTACTACATTTATTAATGGTGAAGAAAAATAGACAAAAAATTTGATGTTGTACATGTTGTTCAACTTTGTTGGACATGTATCATTACTCATTATTTAATGCCCCTTTTATATTATAAGCTAAAATGAACTTATAGGAGAGTTATAAGCCACTTTCAATTTTCAGTTCAAGTACTTATATATGATGAGTCCCATTAAGCTCCATGGAAACTCTTCCATTGACCATGTCTCAAAGTCAGTTGATTCGATCTTTAATCATATGCATTTGTAAGATCACAACTGTCCTTCAAGTTTACAATCAGCTATTTGTTTCACTACAGTAGCACATAGAATAAAATCATTATAACAATAAATGGATGGGGATTTAGAACTTGATCTAAAGAAGGAAGGGCATTTTTTCTGCCAAATGAATGTTGGAGTAGTTTCCAGAGAGAATTTGTGATGCCACGTATTGATTTCCAGCCTCAGTGTAATGAGTACCGTCCCAGTTTACATACACACTGCTGTTGTTGCAAGCTTTTGCTGTTACTGTGGTCCCGTTCAAGATCTTTGTTAGCCCACAAAAAACTCGACTGTCATAGTTCAATGGTGGACCTCCATATCCACAACAAGCCATAATGGGTTGTTCAAACCCTGCAAACATATAACTACAGAAATTTAAATTTGTTTGCCTCAACAAATACTTGTGCTAGAAAATAAATTATGCCATTTTGGCTTATCCTGATCCCTATATTCTCCACTGACTTGGACACACTTCAAGCATTTTAAGGTGGAATTGAGATGTGGCAACAATAAATAAATAAAATAAAATAAATCAGCTACACTCACCATATTTAGAATGGTTTGCAATGAGGTTTGATTTTATGGTGAAGATATCAACATATGTGACATTTGCATCTGGATACTGGGCCTTCAATTTACTACAAAGAGCTTGAAGCTGTGTATTAAATGCTTTGGCCGCTTGATTTTGTGAACTAACACATCCTAGTTCATCAAGATTTGATGAGTTGGTGCCAAATTTGGCAATAACCGTAGCCAAGCATCCGAGTGGACCTGTGTTATGTATCCAGAAATTCCTTGCCCCGAGGTCATACAGTTTCTAGCACACAAATCAGAGAGTGAATGTTAATTTCAGTAAAAACTAGTATTTTTTATACATTATTATTTTTTTGGGCACAGTCACCAGGTCACACAAAACAATGACACCAACCTTTATTCCAGATTCAAATTCCAGTAAAATTGTTGGAATTGAGGCAAGTACTTGGTCCAATGTTTTTGAATAAAATGCACCAGTAAGATCGTTTTGGCCTATGTCAAACATGTATAACCCCTTCTCAAAATAGTCTTCACTTGGGACATACTGATCAAATTTCTTTCCTGAAACATTATTCTGATAATGAATGGGATAAACAGCAAACTAGATTTTGAAACCAAATTTTAATGAGAAGATACTTGATTAATTTATCATATATATACCTTGAAGCAATTGAAGAACCCGCCCTTTGAATCTCAGAAATTGAGATACCTGAACCCCAAAGCTGAATAGACTGATGGATGTTGCAGTGGCTGGAAGGATAGTTGAACCCGATGCTGCAAAGTTGCATCCATGTCGAAAAGTTGGCAAACCCAATGAATCCAAGTAGGCATTTAAGAAAGGCAATTTGAACGCATCCACTGCAATAATCAACCAAAAACACATGGAACAATCATGTCAATGCTAATGATACATCATACATGTTGTTATTTTACTACAATACAAGTGGTGGTGATGGTGGACATTGCTATATGTTCACCATTGTCCGGTAAGTCATACTTGTTATGGAAGAGAACCATATTGTTATATTCTATCGATGATGACGTTAATTTAATCTCTAATGTTAAAGTAATCAATGAGAAACATTGGTTCTCTCCGAGAAAATGAATTTACATTAGATGTAAGTTACTACATTTTAGACAAGGAATAGTAAAAGATGAAATGAACACATTTAGATGCCATTTCATAAGTGTTTTTGATGTTATTCTTCCATCATAATTATTTTTTATCGATAGTCTATGTTCACATTTAATGAACACCTTTATTATTTGTCCAATTTATTGATGTTTGCAGTAAGTATAAGACAATTTCATGAAAGATTATAAAACTTACTTAGGAAATCAACAATGAGACGGCCATCGGAGAACCTCCCAGATGGGGGTTTGAAGTAACTTTGTCCATTAGGCGGGGTAACAAGAAAGCCTAACCCTGCAGCAAGTTCACCTGTGTCTGAGTTTGAATCACCAAAGTTGAAAACTGCTGGGTAACTGAAGTCAGAATTTGCCACAGCCAAAGATATGCATAATGTGACAACTTGAAAAGCTACAACATTCTTAAAATCCATGGCAACTCTCACTTGGTGTGTGCTAAACACAAACAACATAGACACAAGGATACCAATCATAGCTAGCTCTATGCGTGCCTTTTATGCATGCATTGCACACTCATTTGCTTGCTTCAAAGTGAAGTTCAAATAACAAAGGAATGGCTAATAGGACAAAGTGGGGTCCTTTTTGCAAACATTTCATACAAGGTTGTTTTGATACAATTTACCAAATCGGTGGACTTCCGACTACAAAACATTAATCAAAGTCTTAACCAAATTGATTATGGTTGGAAATATGAAATAAATTATATTAAAAGAAAAATATATATTTTGTGTCTTTAAGACTTATGATAAAAATTATTAATCATTTTTATAATAAATACTTTATATTAATATCATAGTTAAAAAAAATATTATTTAAAGATGTATTTTTCATTGTGTGATATTTTTAATTGACACCATACAAAATACTCGAGGCTGCCACCAGTGTATTAATTGAAGGTTCAGATGACATTGGCGTGTCGCGATGTGATTATCACAAAGACTTTAAAAAAACAATCTTATAGTGAAGGCTCAAATAGCATAACAGCATTTCATATGTGATTTGATACATCTATTTTCTGATTTGTCTTGTAATGAAAGCTACAAATAACATTGCAACCTTCCATACATATTTTCTTTATTTATTTAGGAACATAACTAAATGTAATAATTACTATATTATTTCTATATATAAGAGTTTTTTTTTCACTTTTTCTTGTCTTTTTTATAAAACCTCTTTTCTAATTGTTAGTTAATTATATTTTTTCTAAAATATTTTTATTTAATTAACAACTATTTTAGAAAAAAGTTAATAAGTGATTGAAATTAATTAATAAAAATTTTGTCTCGGTTAGAAAAGATAAATAAAAATATAAATATATTTCTTCCGAATATTAATTAATTAATTAATAAGTTAAAAATGATCAAGTAAAAAGAGATGTTAATTTAAGAGATATTAAAAACAATTTTGTAAGAATAATTTAAATTATTGATAAATTTAATATTTTTAACTAAATTCACTAATTTTTTTAACATCATTAATAGTAAATAAATTATATTTTTTTATTAACAGTAAATTATGTTAATTAATAGAGATACTTCTGTCAATATAAAAAAGAAATATGTTAATTAATATAAATAAATAACTAATTAATTATAATTATATTAACTAGAAAGCATTAATTTGGTGATTATGAACATAAATAATTAAATTAAGCAAATGTGTCCAATAATAAATTGAAGATTTCAATATAATTTTAGCCTTCACTAAAAGACAAATAAAATAAATAAAGGTATCAAATAATGTATGGAAGAACGAATAGAATTTTAGTGATAGGCTCTTTGCATGGAGTAATGACTTATCTAAAATAAATTTTTTGTAAAAAAAAAATATATGTGTGAAAAAATATCATTTGAGTCTTTGTTGCAAGATAATTTTGTTTGATGTGATAATGATTATGCAACACGCTTATCTCAATCTTAAAATCATCTGAATCTTTAATGAATAAGCTATAATTATATTATATTGGGTATTTGATTGTAGTTCTTTAAAAAAGAATTCTTAATTTTAGTCATCCAAATTTATATAATACTTATTTTTAATTTTTTAAATATTATTAACTTTTTATTTTTAAAATAAGTTACTTCAATATTCAAATCACCATTAGTTTTATTAGCATGAAAATTTTTTAGTTTTAAATATTAATTATTTTAAGATTAAATTAAGATTTAGGATAAAAATTAATTCTACACTTAAAATTTTTTATTATTCACTCTCAACCTAGACATTAAAGTTTTATATGTGCTTTTATTTTACTTTTTGTTTCTTTATTTTGCTTTTACCCTCAATGGAGGAAGCCAAAAATCCTCCTGTTTTTTTAAAGAAAACATCTTAAAGTTTGAGGAAGGAGAAGAATAAATATTGTTTAAAATATTTAGTGTGTTAAGAGTTTCAAAAGCCATTAGGGTGAAATGATGTTGCTAAAAATTGGGATTTTAAAGCTTAGAGGGTTGTTGATAAAGACGTGAAACTGAATGTTTATGGATATAATGATGATAGTGGGGAAAAAAATCTTACTTTAAATTTGTGAAAATATTTTATACAAGTTTGGTAGGAGACTCTTTGTTTAAGTAAAAAATGAATTATTGAAACTTCTATACATGTGAATAAATAGTGAAAAATTTAAATATAAAATTAATTTTTATCTTAAAATTTAACTTAAACTTAAAATAATTAATATTTTAAATTAAAAAATTCTATGTCAATAAAACTTATAATGATTTGGATGTTTATGAAAAATGCATATTTGATTAATTAAAATTTAGTAAATCATCTAAAAGGATCGATCCTAAAAAAAAAAATTAAAAAATTAAAAAATGTTTGGGAAAGGATTCTACTAAGCCTAAAGGAAAAGCTTGGTTATGGTATTAAGAAAGCAAGCGAATCCAAAAGAAAAGGTTCCTTTTGCTTTGCACAACCATTACCATGTTCTTACTTATAATTAACCTTATGCCGTTCAAGGAAACCAGGCTTATTAATTGCACTATTCCATTATAAGTTAAGAGATGGTTTGTGTTGCATTTGGATGAGTGCATTTGTCTTAACTTGCTTCATCTCCATTGCTCCCCGTGAACCTCTACACTTTACAAATGAGAGTGAAAAGACACATGCATTGCTCTCGGTATGTGTTATATGCTGTGATGTGAACTTGGTCACATTCATTCTAAAAACCCTACCCGTGACCTAATCAGCCAAATTAGCAGTAAACAATTGGATTCCTGAATTTTGTTGACAGAATCTTTTCTCAGTCAAAATTGAGGTTGCAAACACAAAGAGGATCAACCCCTTTAAAGAATAGTAGACCAAGTTGATCCATTAAGAAAATTGGATGAGTTATTCCACTAAAGAAAATAAATTAAAAAATGTGACTCACTTTAATAAATTAGTGAGTTCAGCTCATCTTTAATTTATTAATTTAAAAAATACTTGATTAAAATATCTCAATTGTACATTATTATTTTTACTAGTAAAGAATATGTAATTAAAGTCTTCTGCAAGAGAAATTATGAGATAGTGAAGAACTGTTAAGGACATATACTGTTTAAAAATGTGTTTTTAAAAAACTAAAAACAAAATTAACAGTTTTTTATTTTAAAAATAATTGTAAAAGTGCTTTAAAGTTTATTTTAAAATCTTTTTAATTATATTTTTGTCGAATGTGCTTTATTTTTAAAACTAAAAACTAAAATCTCACAACTACTCAAAGGCCATTTAGGAGTGTTTCATACTTCATTGTTTTTATAAAACTGTTAAATGAACTCACACAGTGTTAACTCGCACTTCAAATTTTATGCATTATAAATATATTCTTCTCATTATCAGACAATTTATATTCTTATTAGAGAGATAAATATAATATCTAGTGATAAAAACATAAATATTTTCTTCTGTAGAAAAAAAATAATATCTAGTGATAAAAACATAAATATTTTCTTCTGTAGAAACTTTATTTAAGAAATCAATTTATTTACATTTTTTTTTGCAATAAATATTGCATGTGGTTTTGGCCACTATTGTCTCATGAGTACTTGTACAAAACTAGAAAGGTTTTATTGGAAAATAATTTATTTTTTTTACTCCTATTGGAAATAAAGAAATCAATTAACACATTTTTTAGTAGTAGTAGTAACTAAAAGTATTTAATAAGTAGCATCATTAGAATAATGATTAGCGGTACACAAAAAAAAAAAAAACAGGATAATGATTAACAAAATCATATTTCATTATTTATAAAACTAATAGTCTCTTGATAAGATTCTTTGATTTTGATCAAACATAATATGCCTTTTTCTTTTTCAACACGAGGATATGACAGTATTTTAAAAAAATAGAAAGTTCAAATAATATGTTGGTTAGATTGAAAAAATGAATATATTTAATTTTAATTTTTTGACATATTTATCTATATTAATATATAAAAGAGATATTTTTTTAATAACTACTTTGATTTATATTTATTGATTTTCATACCTTTTTATTTTTTAAAATTAAAAAAAATATATATATTTTTTTATCAAATTCATTATCTTAAAATTAATAAACTAATCATAATATCAATTAAATTATTATATTTTTATTACTTAATTTTAATTTTACTTTTAATTTTATTTTAAATTAAGACACTTCGTGCTTCGACCCATTAGTTTATATAAATATACTGATAATAAATATAAATTAAATTATTAAAATAAATAAAAATGCATCAAATATCCAACGTAGGCCCAAAATGATATTTTTAAAGGAGCCTATTTGAGTTTTTTCTTCAAAAAACAGTCAAATAGGCCAACCCAAGGATGAATGGGCCCACTGTTTTACTGGCCTACTAGAGTGTATTTCTAAATTCTAATTTTCTTTTTTTTTTTTGTAATGAATTTGAAGGCTTAAACCCTTGAAAAACGAAAACCTGTGTTGTGTTGTGCTTGTGCATCGATCATTCATCTGTAATGTTTCTGAATCGAAGTTGAAGATGATGACACCATTTAAACGCTTACACTTAGTTCGCACACTCTGTCGCTCATCTCAGATCGGAGAATCTTCGTCGTATCTGTGAGTAAAACTACTTTCCTTGCTTTCTCAGAAAAATGCATCTTTTTCATGGTTGAAATAAATGTCATTATGTAATTTTTATTTACTTGATGTGTTTGAATTTTCAGGCTCGGTAGCTGCAAGAGTTATTCCTCTGCACTATCAAATGGTAATGATCTCTTTTAACATTTTTTTGCTGTTTCATTTGTGTGCGAAAGGGGTTTAATGAGAGAGAAACGTGTCAATGATTTAGAATTGGTCGTTAACATCCAATTTGTTGACGGTTGGAGTTGTTTTTTGTTTGATCAGGTTCTGAGGGTAATTTCAGGAGCTTCTATCCCCATTTGTTAAGGGGCCACGATGGCATTCCCTTTGCTGGTGTAAAATCTTTGACACTCCGATCAACAATGGTGAATATTCTTGAACATTTGTCTTATCAAGACTGATTTTCGGGATTTGACTTCCTAACTTTCTTGTGCCTTTCTTAGGCAGCTGAGTTGTCTATTTTCATGAACAATAAGAGGATGGCAACGACTCAAGTCAAAGCCCCACCACAAGCGCGAAATGTGGTAACTCTCTTTTAAATTTCTTTTCTTCTTTGCTCAAGTGTTTCCTGCTATTCTTCATGGTATATATATGGTATGTACTATATGCATTATATCCAATGTGTACTTATTGTATGGGATTGATAAATTAATGGGATGAGTTTTATTGTTTGAATTAAAGGTATATGTTTCCTTTGTCTTTCTGGTTTAAGTCTTTAGTTATGGGACTGCTGATGTAGTGGTGTTTTCATTTGACTTGTTACCACCTCCCTCGTTTATGCTCTTCTTGTATGCTGGATTATATATCCGTTTATTTGACTATTTGAATTGAATTACTGGATTTATTATCTCGTGTTTCCTTTCTATGAAAAAATCACCAATTGATGTAAAGGGGTTCTTCAAACAACAAGGAGTTTTTTCTACTCTTCAACAAGATGGTGAGTGGAACCTAAGACATGCAGTTTATGGCTATAGTTAAGGCGTTAAAATGATTTTGATCATTCATAAAGTCAGGATATTTTCTTAACATTCAAACATATTAGCATTTCAATTGGCAGATCACATGAGAAGCCTCCATCATTTAACAACTTTAAAGTGGATATGCTAGATGTAAGTACATGCATCAAATTTGTGTATTTTACTAAGGGGTAATCCAATACACCCCCCTAAAACAGTCACCTAGATAGTTGATGATTTGATGGATTTCAGGCTACCCTCATATTTGAATTTTAGCATTTATCTACTGCTTAACAAAATCTTTTGTCATTATAGTACTCTTTAAGGATAATGCAAATGAAGTTGATCTATGGTGGCTGTCTGTGATCATTTGGAGCTTTTTTGTTTTTTGTTTTTAGAAACTGTTTAGGTTATAAAGATGAAAAAACAAAAAACACATGTTTGGTTATTGTTTTCTTACTAGCTGTTTTAAAACTATCTTCAAGGCATCCCATGTTGAAAACTATAAAATAGAAATAGCTAAAAGATGTTCTCTCACCAGTTTCCAACTTTCCATAAAAATACAGTGGCACCAATGTAAATAAGTACATTCACTAATGTCAGTTTTGTAATAAATAAAGCACAATCTCATCATTCCCACATCAATTAGACTGACACCATTGATATTGATGGACTAAGAACTCACCAATATCCAAAACCTGAAAAGTTGTCCTGCTAATCAAGTTTTTCATTCATTCTGTTTTCATAAATTAATCCTAAACGAATTTCCAAAACAGTTTTAAAAATTGAAAACAGAAACATATATCAACCAAGGCATTAATTTGCAGATCAGGTAATGTTTTTTTATGCTTTGCTGACACATCTTTGATGCAGGTGACGCAAATGGCCATGACAAGCCCTGGATTTATCTATGAACCTTATGCACCTCGTGAGAAAATCCTATTTTGGAAGAGGTTAGATCTCAGTGATTTTAAATTTCCATGGTTTATTCTTGGCTTTTATTATTAAGACACTAGCATACTCATTATTATATATATATATGACAAAATTTAAAATTTGTATAGCCTTTTTGTGGGTTTACTTTAACATTTAGAATAGTTTTCTTTACACCTTTTTCTAGATATTTTTTTCACCAATATGATGTGCTTTTAACCCTTGTATAGCATTATATTTCCTTAGAAACTATTATAATTATTAATCACGATCTTTTGTATTATTTTTTATATTTGATGTATCAGATGGTTCACTAGAAGTGGTTGGATAAGAACAAAAAATGACATCATTCTTGAGGTGATGTATATAACGTTTTAATTTTGGTTTGCATTATTCCCCCAATTTAGAGAATAGAGCCTAACTATATTGATGTAATAATTTCTGTTGATCCAAATTGTTCTTTTCTGTTCTCTCTTTTTTTAACCTCAATCTTGGAGAATTACAGCATTGTTGCTTTCTTTTTGGAGGAATTGCTTTCCTCTCTTTGATGTCCATTTTTCACTTTCTCTCTACTAAATATCCTCTTTTATGAGAGATAAGGAAAGAAAGGGAAAATTAAAATCACACTGAAAGTGTTGAACCTGGACCTTTTTATTTTTACAGATGCTATCAATAACTTCAATTAAACATTGCTTTTTGCTTTGTTACAGCTCAAAAGTGCCTATGCTATTGCAAAATTAAGAAAAAAGGGCTATTCAAAAAAGCAGTTTTACAATGAAGCTGCCAATATGTACAAGGAGGTTTGCACGCGTTGTATTCTGTAGCCTTTACTATGATTTTGTTTAAAATCTCATTGTGACAAACATCAAACAACCAACAAGGCTTTTTCCCACTAGGTGGTGTCAGCTAAATAAATCAAACAACACCATTGTGTTTCTGTCTTGCAACTCATTCTGACAAATCATTTACCAATTGCCTATTAGTAATCTAAGCTACACAGTAAAACTAAAGAAAATTATGAAGAGGAAAAAATATTGCATTAATTACGCCTTTGGTCTTTAGACAAATTCCATGAAGAAATTAAGGATAGAAGATATTGTTATTTGGCCTTTAGACATGTTTTGAATTTTCACCAGCTAGGACTTTGTCATCACTAGTTTAGTTCTTGGAAGTTTCTTTCTTTTGCATTATAGTATGTGCTTTATTCTGTTTTGACTTTCTTTTCCTCCTTGATTTCAGCTGGCATATCATTATTTGCCCCATTGTTGATGTTTTTTTTTTTCTTCTTCTTCCCCAGATAAACACTCTAATAGCTAATGGTGACAAAAAAACGTTAAGGAAAGCAGTTACTGAGAAGATGTTTTCTGTATGCTTCAGTTCCTTTTCATGATTTTACTATTGTACTATGGGCCCATTTGTTTGAACTTTTTTCCTTAAGAAAGCATTTTTTAATAAAATATTTGCAGTTTTCTACTTATTTGATGTGTTTGTTTACTTTTTCTTTTTTTCTTTTTAAAAAGCAGTTTTCTGCTCTTTTTTTTTAGGCAAAAATATATTTTTCGTCCCTTATATTATTTATTAGATTCAATTTAGTCTCACTTTAATTAATTGAATCAATTTAGTCCCAAATCCTTAAAATGTATCTCAATGTTTGACTTTCCATTTGCTTCGTTTAAATACTTAACGAATGTGACACATGTCATGCTATCATGTCATGTGACACGACACGTGACATAATGACACGACACGTAACATAATGGCATGACAACATGACATGTGGCATGGTAGCATGACACGTGTCATGACAATATGACATGTGGCATGACACGAGTCAGATCTGTAAGTATTTAAACGGAGGAAACGAGAAGTCAAACATTGAGATACATTTTAAAAATGTGGGACTAAATTGATTCAATTAATTAAAGTGAGACTAAATTAACACTAATAAATAATATAAGGGACGAAAAATGTATTTTTGCCTTTTTTTAAGAAGCAAATTCTATCTGCTTATTAAATAATTGCTTTTTATAAGCAATTTGTTTGAAACACTTTCTAATTTTAAACAAACTGGCCTAAATATGAGCTATGGTGCATTTTTGTATCAATAATTTCGAAAGAGAGTATAGTTTAATTTATGAGATGTTATATTTCATTTTTTTTGTCAACATAGGCACTTAAGAATGAAATTAGACAAAGAGAAACTGCATGGAGGAAGGTATACTGGGAAATGGTCGAGCCCGTTGTTAAGATTCGGACTTTACGTGCCCGTCTGGTTAGTATTCTTCCTCACTGTGTTTAAATTTTGATCAAGATGATGTGACGACTCAAAATGTAGCATGAATCTGAAATAAGAGAAAGAATGTCTGCCTTTACTGGCATTGGGCCATCACATCAAAGAGCTGATGTATCGACCTTTTAATGATGAGGCATCACTGATCAAAATCTGGTCCCATTGGATCAAGTAATAATATAACTATCATTTGCTTTGATAGGATGTATTATTGGAGGTATTTTGATCATTTTACTAGTGAAAACATTGAAGTTAATCCTTTATTGTTTATTGGATTCTTTGTAAAGTTTTATTTCTGGACATCTCCCTGGAGTTACTGGTTATGTCTTGTAGGCACCATGCACAAAATCTTAATTTTGAAGTTTATTCAATTTCTGCAGCAGTCATAGACCTATTCTGGGATCAAATATGTAAACAAAATTGTTATCCTATATAATTGATATTTTCTTGCCTGATGTATGATGACAATTCTAGAAGTGTTAATCGACCATGTCCTGTTTGTTTGCCCGTTTAACCTACCAGCCTTATGCTGAAGAGCATATTATATATGATGCTATTGCTGAAGTCAGTAATTTGATTTTTATGCTGATTTCCTTATCAATTACAGATTGGAGTTGATCGGAAGGACATGGATAAAACATTTATTCAGCTTACTCTTGAGATTTTGGCTAAACAGGTATGCTTTACACATTAAAATTAATCCAATCCCAGAAAATTTATGCCATGGTTTCTTGAGTAATAGGAATTTCAAAAACTTAGAACAGTGAAATAATGTTATATCAATTGCAGAAATTTGAAGCATATGACTCAAAAGGCTCTGTCGTAGCTGGAGATAAAAGCAAGGAGGTAATGATAGTAAATTTCTTGCTTGCATTTCATTCTTTGGGCATTCCTGGATCTTCCTTTCCTTTTTCTTTCTGCTAATTTATCAAAAATGTATTAAACCATCTAGGAAAAGATAGTCAGTTATTTCTTCATTGACTTTTTATTTTCTCTCGTTGGTAGGATATAGAGAACAGGTTTTTTTGTGGCATGAATTATATAGTAGGGTACTCATTCATTTTCTATGAAATGACAACTTGCTTCAGCAGAGGGAACTTCATTGTTCATTCATTCTGTTTTAAGGATGCATCCTTTTGACCTCAAAAAAATAAATGTTTACTCAAGTTCAGTGCATTGCTCTTTATTTTGGATAATGCTTTCTTCTTCCTTTAGCACTAATTGTTAGATTCTTATGTTTTCCAGGTTCTTGTCCGTGATATATGGGTATTTGAGAAATCTATGTTTCACCCTGATGCTTACTGGCGTCTGTGTGGGCGGATATCACCAGAAGTGTTTTCTCATTGAAAAAAGAGACCCAAGTTTATGATAGTTAGCTGTTCTTATGTTGTATCTTATAACTGCTGAGCTGAATTCTTATATTTATTTGTCATTGGAGCCTTGTCCTCTTAATAAAATCAAATCTAGGTGTAAACCTATGCAAATTTTGTTCTTCGAATGAAATCCTTTTGCAGAGTTTTTTTTTTTTTTTTTTTTACTTCGTGTGTTCTCCTTATCAGTCTCTTTCCTTGGTGGAAAACTGGAAAATATGTGACGATCGATCAATGGAAACCATGTGGGAAAGGTATCCGTCGACATAAAATAATTAATAAAATAGTAAACGTGGAAGATTGGGCAAGGTGATTCCAATTCTTCATCACAAATAAAATGGTAACTCCGTATGAATTCGACAACCCTGCTAATAACTCGGAAAGATTCACTAAAACAAGCATATAAATTTCTGTAATTGTATGAGTCCTGATTAATTGCCTCGCTCAAGTGTGCTCTTGCTACGCAATAAACATAATCAGAGGGAGTATCAAGCAATGCCTTGTATTCTTGCTTTCTACTTTCAGATTCAATAGCAACTTAATAAAGACTGTAAACTTTTTGGTTAGCATCCCTTCTAAGAAAAGCAAAGTATATCTTCCAAATATTTTCAATATCACTTCCTGATTTAAACTTGTATTCTTAGTTCAAGGTTGGATTAATCATTCCCTTCTTCCACCCTTTTCACATCTTTATCTCCGGGTAAGTTTTACCAGATGGACCAAAGAGAATTCCATCTTCAACATGTGGGCATCTGTAACAGGCTCTATCATTTCCTCACGAAAGTTCTGGCTTCGCAAGCGTTGAAGACTGTGACTTTAGGGCATTCTAAGCGTCAAAGTTCAAGCTCAACTGCCATAAGAGGCTCTGGCCAAGTTGAAGACAAGAAGCTTCCACCAACTCAACCTCTTGTAGGTGACTCTATTTCTAAGCCATGCAAGAACGTTGATGAGAATAAAGGAGAGAATGTGGCATCAACATTGCCAACGGCAAGTTTAGCACCAATGCCATCTATAAAGAAAACCGTGAGCATAAATGAGAACGTGGAAGAGATCCCCCCACCTAAGAAGTTGAAGAAGAAGTGGAGCAAGTCCTTTCAAAAATCATTTTCTCAGGATCAAGACGAAGAACCATCAACGCCTCCGCGATCAATTCTGAAAGTGCCTTCTGATCTCAATGACAAGTCCAATTCCATTTCTTAATTCCACGTTTCGGGTGCAATAATGTTGGTGTCAATAATTTATTGTATAAAAATAATAAAATTATAACCCTCCTTCATATAATATATCCTCTCAAGCAATTTAAAAACATAATCCCAACAGGAATCCCCGTGTGAATGTTGTGGGTGGCATTAACAATCTCTTTGATCATTGATGATTCCACAATTTTCTTTCTTTCTTTGTTTTGTACATTTAAATATTTCTTTGCCCTCTTCTGCTTTGGTGACTTGATCGTAAAAAACTTAAATTCTTAAATAAATGGATATCTTAGTAACTGCACAAGTCCTATCTCACGTGAGCTCCTCACAAGACAAAGTGATACGGATAGATACAATATTTTTGCATTGGACTCCAATTTAGTCATGTGTGAAGCCTGTGTTTGTTTCTAGACTGTAAAAAATAATCAATGAGAAAGATCCAGAATTTTGGGAACGAATAAAGTTCTCACAGCATAAATCAATCACGCAATCTTTAAAGAATAAAGCTACCTGTTTGAAAACTCCAATTTTGTCGGCATACACAATACTAAACCGTATTTGAAAATGAATAACAACAATGTAATAAAAAAACATCACAATCTTTTGTAAACAGTGATAAAGCAGGCTTTGATATCGAAACGTATAACCCACAAGCAGCATAATACAATTATACAAAGCCCTACAAACAGTATAAAATTGCTCAAAAGGTTATCTATTAGAACTTCCAAAGTGTCAACTCTATTATCTTATCCTTTCCTAATTTTTCTTTCTATTGAAATCTCTTCTCCTATCAGTGAAAAATAAAAATCACCTAGTGTGTTAAAAATGAACCCACAAACCCATATGGGAATCACACTATGCACATACACTTAAAGAATTAGTTTCACCTTGATTCTCCACATGATCATGATCATCATCAGAGTCATCGGGAAGATGATCAAAAAACTCATCAAAGTACCAGGGGCATTGATCATTCCAGTCACCCCTGCAAGCTGTGGCACGCCATTTTTGGTCAGCAATCATCTCAGGAGAGAGACCCCATTGTAGCATTTCTTCCTCTGTGTGATGAACAGCTAGGCTGTATTCTCCACCAGTTCCCAGTTGCATAACGCGGAACTCGCAGTTCCCAAAATTGTTTAGATGCTCAAACTGCTCCACTGTCCACTTGAACCACTTCATGAGGAAAATACGCGATGTGAGGCCGTGAGACACAATTACGAAATTCAGATCATTGGAAGGGTCGTGACGAAGCCTGTTCATGTCTATGTCCCTCCACAGAGATTCAAAGAAACCTGCAAACCAATCACAACCATCAACAAACATAACATCCAGTCAAAAGGCACAGAAAAAGAAACGGGTATGTTATCTAATTAGTCCTCACTCCTCAGCATCGCTTATATTAATTTTCCATTATCATCTATCACATTTCATTCCTCCTACCATTAGATATCTGAACATACTCTAAAAATCCACATAAGGAATTTATAAGTCAAATTAGTTCTTAAAATTTGAGGCTTAAAGAACTAATTTGATTTCATTTCATTCTTCAAATTCAATGAAAAAAAATAGCATATAAATACATCAGAAGTTATTACTAAGATGACTTCCAAACTGTTACTATAAAAAGTTAACAAACTTAATAATTTATGATTATAGACATTAGGATAGATATGATTTTTTTAAAATAATTATTATAAAAATCAACAAATTTAATATTAAAGCTCTCATTGAATTAAATAACTTTCTTAATAAACAATTAGAAAACAAAAAAAAAAAAATTAATAATCATTCGGCACAAAATTTTTTTTTGCAATATCATCCAATAAAAAATTACAATGTTGGACTTTTAATATAATTATTATAAAAGCCAACAAACTTATCTTTAATAATAAATTATAATCATGATTGTATAAAATTACATTATAAATCATACAAATTGTAATTTCTGATCTGCCGACAATTGTACAGTGCCATTAAATCTTTATTTAAGTAGTACTTCTTCCGTTTTTTTTTCATAGTCGTTTTGTCAAAGTTTGTTGTTTTTTTTTCATTGTCATATTACTAAAATCAATGAGTTATTAATTTTTTTCTTTCATTTTTACCCTTGATAATTAATACATGTTTCTTAAAAAATGTGTGTATTTATTTTTAATATCTACCTAATTTTTCTCTAACTACTCATATAAAGTTAATGTGCATTTATAAGAGCAATATGTTCCCAATAAAATACTATAAAAAATAAAAAAAGGAACAACTATTTAATGGAGTAGTTTAACCGTCTAAAAAATGCAAAAAAAAAGAAGGATAAAATAAAAAAATAAGTAATAAATATTTTTGAAAACTAAAATATTAATTATTTCCTTAATTCCTGTGCAAAACCTTAAACGACTATAAAACAAAAACAGAGGGAGTATATTTTAGACTTCTTCATCCATCGACTAAATTTATTTATTTATAATGCAAAATATGAACTTAATTAGCAGCACTAAGGAAAAAGAAGAAAGAGGTTACTTGAAACGCGATCGAAAACGTCGGCGGCGGATTCTCCCTCGGGGAAGCGG